TACTGCGTGTCTATTATTGCAAAAATCATACACAATAAATATATTCTAAAATATCAATTTGGGTACTCACGAATTCATATCATGTGTGGTGTCCTGTGGTAACATAGTGTACGTTGTGACTGGAGTCAGCGGGGGTGGTGGCAATGGAGTAGGAACGGGTGACAACAGCACTGGCGAGTACGGCGTCGCCGTTGCTACAGAGGTGAGCTTCTCTGGGAGCATCGGACTGAGTTGCAGAGGCTTGACCGAATTCTTCGACAGTCGGTGACTCTTTGGCAGCGAAACCGGCGAGGATCTGTACTCAGGCATTTGGAAAAGTGAAACTTCGCGAACATGTATCAGGATTTTAATAATAAACACCACTGGATGGCGCGCTTCAAATAAAACGTGCTACTTCCGGGTTTATTTCAGGGGAACCCCCTTTTATTAAACGCAAATCAAAAATAATCTCGAAAATATTATATTTGTTATGTCCTATTTATTTTACACAAATACAACTATGGATTGTTATTATCGGATCTCTGCTAAAACATAGGTCAAAATCCGTTTGTCGTCACGGTTCAACGCTGCCTTATTTGTATGTAATTCCCAGTCTTATGCAAGTAAATAACACACACATGTTTGAATATGAAAAGAAAAACGGCTTCTATTGAATTTATGCTAATTAGCTATATCGCATGTTGTTGTTTCACGGTGTCATACCACAATTTGTTTAAGGGGTCCGCCAGGTAGTCACTTGACTGCGGGGTCAATAACCCTATTTGTCTTCATTTTCATCTTGTGTAGTTTTCGGCCGTATTTGAGACTCTTCATAATGTTTTGTTTTTTTCCCAGGATTTTGTTTTAATTTTGGCTACGAACTTAGAGGTGGGTAATAGAAGGGGACTATTCTAAATTAGGGGTTATTGGAAATAGAGTGTGACGGACTATATGTACGCGAACTGTGACGAAAATGACGAACCTTTGTCCCCATCCTGAAAACTGGGGACAAAATGACTGACACCGTGACATTGAAGTTGTTAAGCTAACTTGGTTCTCCAGTTCATATAATTAAATGTGGTGGCCGTCGCGCTACGCATGCGCGAAATATGGGTCTCATATAAACAAAGAAGGCGACTTTGACCCCTAGTACATTCCATGCGCAGACCAATGAGTGTGTAAGATTGGTGATTGGAAGGTATCGAAGGAGTCGCCGATTGTAATTAGTGCAAGTCGCGGTCAGGGAAAAAAATCGTACTCGTGATTTTATTGGAAAAAATCAATGTTTATCAACACAAATGTCGCACATACCCTTTAATAGCCAATAGGACTACTTGTTTCCCTTACATTATTTGTGACATGTAGATCGTAATTTGAATATTAACCGTTTGAAGTGACACCTACAGCTGGAATGGAATGTACTTGTCTTTTAGCCAGTTGTATTGTGACATCAGAATAAGCAACCCTCAGATGATGTGTGGGAGGAACTTTATCAAAAACCAACCAGTTTTGAAAAGGCGGACTGATACATTTTGAGTGGTTACTCGGGTCTGTCAACTTTTGCAATATTACCAGTCCCCAGCAGCGTCGATCTCCTTTCAGATTGTGGGTGTGTATGGTGATACTGTCTTACTTGATTTAAAAAAATAAACACATTTTTTTTATTTTTTTTAAATTGTCAGTGACTGAGCTCATTACCCTCTGTGTGAAATATGATTTCCATCTTTTACATTGTCTATGTCGTCTTCACACCGCATTTGTCCACTTAATTAAACTATATAGCAAGTCTGCAGTGAGTGCCCACTAGTGAGTGAGTCTGGCGCCGGTCAAATGACACAAGTAGTATCTCCTTGCCCAGGCTCTGAGATCATGTCTAGCGTGTTTTTTTTGAGTCTTGGGAAGAATTATTTGAACTAAGTGATGACAATTATTTATGAGTAACTAAGGAAATAGATACAAAATACACTTTTTAAATAATTTTTTAGTGTGTCTGAATTTTGACGATCATCAGTTGATTGCTGGAATTTCATTTGCTAAACAGTGCTCCAACGCGCGTGAACTCAAAGCGATTCGTATCCTGTTCGAATAAATTCGACTTGTACCAGCCCCCCCCCCCCCCCATGAAACTGCATGTTTCAAAACCCGCACAAAAATGCGGTGCCTCCGATAGAGGGCGCAGTATGAGACAAGTCTTGAACAGTTCGAGTCGTCGCAGCGCGTGTTGTTATGTGTTCTAGAATAGTTTCTTGTATTTACCGAGAATACAATTTACTGTAAAATAAACAAATTCTGGGTATCGTCATTTTATGATTAGGCTTCTACCTTAGGGATTGGTCAGTTACTTCGGCCTAGGGGGGGTCGGTGGATCAGTAGGGGGGGTACCCTGTTTTTGATTGTGCGAATAGGGGGGGGGGGTCACCCTGTTTTTGATATCATGTTTTCCAGATTTCACACACGCGCTCATGCATATATTTTTAAAAATATTATTTCAGAACAAACGATAAAAAAGTTAATCGTACAAATGTGTTCTTAATAATAACTATTACCTATATTGTCTATAAATTTGTTGATGCAAGAAATGTTATAGGTTGAATATTTTGAGGTTAAAGTTGCCAAATAACTAACAGATTATGCAATGCGGCTAGAATCCCAATTATACAGTTAAGTTTTAAACACATCCCAAGTCCATGTGCTGCTGATATCAGATTATTTTATTTAAAGTCTGAAGTCACCATTGTATAAGATATTTACTGGATTTATCCAATTATAACAGGAGACAAAAAGACAGCACAGCAATTAGTACAAAGAGCTGTGACAGTTTTTGTTCAGCAAATCAAAAAAGTTAAATTTGTGAAAATGCTGATATATAAATTAAAATAAATGATGAAAAAATAAATAAATAAATAGTTTTGTTTTTTTACTTTTAAATATGCATATTTTGCTCTGTAAAATACCAAAATCCAACACAAATTTAAGCAAAAATCAAAGTTTCCTTTGTTTTCATAATCACAGACTGTGCTTCGGGTGTAAAGCTTTCCTGGTCTATAAGATATGAAAGATAATTTAAATCCAACTTAGTTTTCAAAGAGTTCAAACCGCCTAGATTCAAATCCTCTTTTCCTATTTTATAAGGGCGATTATCGAGTAAGTACTCCACAGCTTTGCTTTTATTTACTATCTTTAGCAGAATAGATTTCCCTCCTTCCTGCAGCCTTTTCTGTAGTCATTTTTTGACTTTATGCTTCCCCTCCCCTCCTAAGGCAAACGCTAAAAAATTATGTCAAAATTATGGCAGACCATGATATTTTCAATGCACATATAATACATTTTGTAATCATGTCAGAGCCAAAACTGTTAATGTTTCTTTGTTTTTTTAGGGGGGTCAGCATGTTTTAAATTTTAAAATATAATGTGGGGGGGGGGGGGTCACCCACTTTTTTTTATTTGATAGGGGGTGGGTCAACTGAGATTTACAGCTGGCAAAATGGAATCTGCCGACCCCCCTAGGCCGAAGTAACTGACCAATCCCTTAAAAGGATTTAGCTAGAGGCGTACTCTCTTTTTTTTAGAAAGTTAGTCTTAAATAGTATAGTGTTCATTGGTCTATTATGTAAAATCATGAAGGTTTTGTCCCAAAGTACACTGAGCATTATTCTATGCGTTACAGTGACGTTTTTGTCCAAATATATTTTCAAAAATCGTTATTTTTAGAACATTGTTTTTTTTCCCATTTTTTTAAAACCCCGATTTTTGAAATAATTCAGGGCAAGAAAAAGTACCCCACCATTCACGATATATGATTTTTCCAGCCTATTTCACCAAGTCGAGATATGGCATAATATTTATGCCATAGAAACCTATGAAAAAAAGCGTTACAGTAATACTTTCAAAAGTATCCACTAAAATACAATCATATTTTTGTTCAAAAATAAGGCTGGTTGCCAGAACTTTTTTAAGTTTTCGAAAATTAATAAATTCTGGTTATTTTTTTATTTATAATTGACTAGGTTTCGTCCATCTACCTCATAAACTGAAGCTCTTGAATATTTTTTTTAAGGTTTTTGATATTTTTCGTCAATTTCTGTTCTAATATTCCATATTGAATTATTATTCATCGTAAACTCAGATATGATTCTGCGTGAATGCATATTTTTTCTTTATTTTATCAAACGATTTTTGTTTACTTCACGTAACATTTTTGGCTGGTTCCCGCCTCAAGTGTCACGGCGAACCAAGACGCCGGGAACCAGCGGGGTAACATTTTTGAAATGGTTTATTTGTATAACGCCCTCAAACGACCACACTCAAAGGTCAATGTTCGTCGGTCAATGTTGCATAAATTAAATATGGCTACCTACACAAACTAGCGGGCGTGACAGTGAAAACATAATCGGACACAGATCGGGCAGGTGTAAAACCAGGGCACGGCAGTTCACTTGTACGTAGGTAATTCGCGGCCATACGGAACAACAACAATGCACTGATCGTATCGGGTTTTCTTTGCATGGAACCACAAACCACGGACGTTTTTTTTTTTTCCCCTTAAAGTGAACGTGGGCGACGTTCTGCATTGACACAGTGAGAATATGACCGAATTTATACTCGGGGGATTGGCAGCATGCGGGGCATGTCTTTTCAGCAACCCACTGGAAGTTGTTAAAATACGCATGCAACTTCAAGGGGAACTGCAAGCCAGGGGAACGTATGTAAGGTCTTACAAAAACGCCTTTCATGGATTTTACACCGTCGGCAAAGTTGATGGATTGTTGGCTCTCCAGAAAGGACTTGTGCCCGCTCTGTTTTACCAACTACTCATGAACGGAACTCGCCTTGGGACGTTTCAGTGTCTCAAAAATGCTGGCCTCATTACGGACAAGAACGGCGATGTTGTATTTTGGCAAAGCGTCGTAGCTGGCGCTTTTTCCGGTAGCTGTGGTGCGATAGTGGGCAGTCCAATGTATCTGGTAAGGTTCTGCTGTTAGGGGTCAACCATTTGATATCACAGGGAGAGATTGGATAGAAGATTCGTTTAAAAAAGTGTGCAAGCTAGTTACAAAAAAGAACCTAAATTATATGCAAGGTGTTGCAGGGAAAATGTTCAACAAAAATAAAAATTTATAGATAAGACACTGTGAAAAAAGATTGCACTGGTCACACCATTCTAACCACCCCTATGATTTTAAAGGGTGGTCCCTTAAATCATTTAAAACGAGTGAACATTGTTCTTGTAACCAATCAACTTTATCTCACAAAATGATTTTAAATACCAGTCACATGCTTGTCACTTAAATTTGAGATCTGAGGACTATTATACTACAAATTATTTATTAATATTAATATGTGCAAATTGTCAACAATATTTTGCAATTTGCTATTGTTCTGAACATGTTTTGAATCACTGCAAGACTACAGTAGTTCACAACAGAAGCGTCTATTTGTGAAAGCATGAACCTTAAAAACAAAGTATTAGAAAATAAAATTTGAAATATTCTATCAAATGTGTAACCGAGACATATCCCTGCTTAGACATGGTTAAATTAAATCATTGAAAACTGGATAAATATTTTCCATATTTTGCTCATATTTTGACCATCAAATACTGTAAATTTTACTGTACTGTAATAAATGTTTGTGAATCAAAAAAAAAAAAAATTGTGAAATTTTGTAGCAGTGAAAATTCTTTTGTTAATACCAGTAATAATAATAATGAAGAATATTTTGAATGCACTAAGCCTCTGATAGAAGAATAAAATCACAAGCCATAGCTTTTTTTTACATCTAGGTTTAAATAGAATGGAGCCTATACGTATCTTGCCCTACATATGTCCAGACTTGATGTGATCTGTTCAGTTTTTTTTCTCGTCATCGATGTCTTAATATAAACAATACTTGTTTGCATTGTTACAAAGGTTGACTGAATGTTTTATCGCAGTTGCTTCGTATAATTTATTACCAGCGAAGGATGATGCAATACAAATGCCATAAATTCGTCAAATCTAGAAATTTCTATGCACTGAAAAGTAAACAGTTTACAGGATGACTTTTTTTATTAATTTAACCTTTTCACGACCAGTATCTTCTTTTCATCACAAAATAGTTCTGTTTTATAGTCTTCATTCAGAAGATGGGGACAAAATATTTGAATAAAACTTGAAAATTGATTCAGAATAGTAGTTTATAAATAAATAAACGCTGCTCGGACTGATAAATATGATATATAGAAGATAATATTTGGTAATCATAGTCCTAAATAACTATTAAAAATAGCTAGACGTTTCGAGCAATGGCTCTGGTGAGATTCAGTATGTTTTGTCCATGCATCCATGTTGTCTCTCTGAAGGTCACTAAATTTAGGAAAAATATTTGTTTTGATAATGATATTTATTTGAAATTTATTATTTATTCCATAACTCTATACATACCATGCTAACACCCAATCACACATGTATGGTTAATATATCTACAATTAATATGTCTACAAATAAATCTTGAATGAAAAGTTGGGAAAAAAAATCATGCCTGGATCCAATTTGGTCTAGAACGTCAGCTCTTTCTGGGTCTACATGACCTCCAATAAATAAATAAAAACTATGGCTATTTTTTTCTTATTAGTCATGCAAATGTATTCAAATCTAGGCATTAATTAGCATTTCTCAGAATTCCAGATTAATTATATTTGATCTGATTTCTAATGCATGTAAATGTTTCCACGTAGGTTAAAACGCATTTACAGTCACAGTCCAATGTTGAGATCGCAGTAGGACACCAACATACTCACAATGGGATGACAAGTGCATTAAGAACTATATATAAAGAACATGGTGTAATTGGTTTATGGAGGGGAGTTAGTGGTGCTGTCCCTCGGGTGATGGTTGGCTCAGGAGCTCAGTTATCTACATTTTCAACTATCAAAGATATGGTGGAAAAGTCTAAGGTACGCTTTATACTCTTTACACAACACACTATAGACTGTAACCATGGATACGTCAGGTTATGCAAATTTCTGTCACATCACTAATATTGGTGCATAAAATCAAAATCTCTCATTTAATTGAATTTTTAACAGCACATCTTTTTTCTTACAGATATTTAAACATGAAAGTTGGTTCATCCCAATTACGTCAAGTTGCGTCAGCGCTGTCGTTGTTACTGCATTCATGACACCATTTGACGTTGTCAGTACCCGTTTGTACAACCAAGGAACTGATGCTCGTGGGAAAGGAATTTTCTACACTGGATTTTTTGATTGTTTTCTGAAAATTCTTAGAAAAGAAGGTCCTCTTGGCTTCTACAAAGGGTGGACAGCCTCTTTTTTTCGCCTTGGACCACACAGTATTTTGAGTCTTGTATTCTGGGATAAATTACGACATTTTTACACAAAAATACACTTACAAAATTAACACTAGGGTTCAGATTGGCTTCAAATTAAGCAAAGTGAATTATGTGGAACCCTTGAAACATGATGCATCTCAGGTTACCTTTTGTTTCAAATTCGACTAGTCCTGTATTTCCTGTACAAAATGCGTGTCAGCATACATGCACTTGATCTCCTGTTCTGTGTGAGATGCAGAGTTTTTTTGAATTACGATCATCAAAGTTATGAAAACATACAAAAATGACCATGCCCACTTTTGCATGTGTAATTAACAGTTAACTGAATTTTAAGTTACGAGTAATTGTTGTTTTTTAATGTCCATATTTTATAACTCAAAATTTAATAAACAGTTACCGGTAACTCAATATCAAGTTACAGCCAACCTAAATTTTTGTAGTTGTTTAATCATCTACATTTTGGTAAATTTTGGTTTAGTCACTGGGAGCGTTTGTAGAAATTAAACAACAATAGTAAATTTATATTGCTAGTAACTAGTTGCTTGATTAACTGGTTAACTGTCAATTAAAGTTAAAGTTACTAACTACGCCATTAATCAATGACCAAATCTATGTTGCTCGTAATTCAAAGTTTGATTAACTGTGATTTTGCGAAAGTGGGTGTGGTCAGTTTTCAACTGGAACAACACCTTGTCTCATTAACATTTGTCACGACCAGAATTAAAAAAATGTACAACCAAAGTGTCACACGCAACGTAATATTACCGTAATTGGTATAGTACAGGTGTGATGGTTCAAATACCAAAATGGCAACAGTAACAGAAAGACATCCCTGGCGGCGATGATAGCATACGAACACGGAGCCAGCAGATGAGGTTTCAACTGGTACTGGTATTATACTCTGCAAACATCAAGTACAATAATGCGGTAAAACTCCAAACTTCCAATAACTGGATACTTAAACTCCAATACAATTCAACGAGATCTCTGATCTGACTCAGTGCTGAACAACTTCCCTATATATACCCACACTGTCTATAAATAGACCATTACATCAGCATACATAATGAGTCTGGAACTTACTACCAATTTCTAGAATGTTCCATTACCTTCTATTGCCTCCTACAGTGTTCTATTACCTATTCAACCAGTTTCTAAAAAAAATCTAGAATATTCCACCCAGACACAGTACGGTTCTAGAACATTCTCAGTGACACGGAAGTGGTAAATAAGTCGTATGCGACACAAAGTTGCATTTATTTTTCCTGCTTGTGAAAACATTGTGAGAACAGACAATTGAATGCAGGTTACAATCTTTAAATATTGCAGCAAATATTCCTTACATTAAAATAATCCACATAAAATTGTCCCACTGCACCAAAAAAAGCTGAAAAAAACATGGGTTCTTTAAATGACTAACTTTTATGAAAATTTCGTTATCACAAAGCCATTAAAATATCAACACTGAAATCCAATTGTGCTCATGCTGATGATGTGCTCTAATTTTGCGATGAAAACATTTTCACAAATCAAGAAAAATCAATGAAATTTGTACAGGGATTCTCCACGAAATCATTAATTGATGAAATTGCAAAGAATTTCTAGCAATGAAATTTAAAATGTTTAGTTTAATTATGGTACAGACTTTGGGGGAGGGAGTCCAGTCACAAGTCTGAGTGAATTTCTCAATTATTATTTTCATGCGATCAAGGTCTACACAGATCATTTTTTTAAACAAGCAAAGGCTTACCTAATAATTTATTCACTGTACAGTACTAATGTATAGTGGAACCTAAATCAAGTCTTAACAAGATTTGTTGAATACACTTATATGCATATTACCGTACTCAACTTTATACGCACATTACCGTACTCAACTTTATACGCACATTACCGTACTCAACTTTATACGCACATTACCGTACTCAACTTTATACGCACATTACCGTACTCAAATATATCAGTTTCTGTCTGTAATTCTTGCCTTATATACCTGTGTTTGTTATATTTTCCTGAAATCTCACAACATATGCCACAGTTTGCTGTATTTTAATAATGAATTGGAAAGTCTGTGTAATTAAATTTGGACTTGTAGAATATTGAATGTCTCATTGTATGATTTTTCAATAAACGTTTTTTGGTGTGCCAACCATGTTTGGTTTGCCAATGGTGTTTGGTACGCCAACTATATTTATCAAGTCCATAGGACCAGTAAAAGATAATTTTATCTTGCTTTTTATTGGATATCAAAAGAAGGAGCAGTACTCATTTCAATATGCACAGTGTTACCATGGTAACTTGTAATCAAGTTACCATGGTAACAATGTAACATTTTTTGTAAAATGCAATAGAATTATTCTTGTCTGTTATAGAACACTAACTACTTGAGATGGTGAGATTGTAGTCATTGTTGTGTACCCATTAATTTGATATACTGTAGAATACTTTTTTTTCGCTTGGAATTTATTTTCACTAAAGGGATGATTCCGTAAAAATAAAATCCAGCGAATATACTTTTTTCTATATTTCATATTCAACTCATCAAAAATCAGTGAAAATATATTCCATACAAAACACCCAAAATGTCTTTTCAGCGAAAATTAATTTCACAGGAAAATTTCACAGTACTACCAAATCATCTGATGTAATGATTCAAGATCTCTAAATTTATACTCGTAATGTCATATCTTTATAATAGATTACGCTGAAAGCAATAGATCTAATTTGAATGTAGTGTTCAATTCTCCTGTGACCATGTTCAATGCACATGAAAACCACCATGGTATGGTATCTGAAACTGGGTATCATGGCCGCAGTGAATGTAATGTTATTTGATGAGCAAATTCATGGCATTCTTATTCTCAGCAAGATCTTGGCTGCCATTCTCAACTATACTATAATACAGATTTCTATATTGCAACAATCAAAACACTGCAGTACCTCAAAATGATATCTGAGATTGGACACTTTAGTAGTAAAAATGAAAATGAGCAACGAAAATTTCAGACCCACTACATCCAACACTTTGACACTTTCTATAATGCTGCTGAATTATAGATGTATGACAATGTTCCCGATATATTTGTCAGTGTAGTCTTCTCATGTTAAAATCATTTCAAGACTAGGAAAAAAAATGCTCCCCCATTCTCATTTCCACTCAGCACAGATGTAACATGATCAATTATATAATGATTGTAAGATTCTAGTGTTATTGCGTTTTTTCACTTGGTTGAAAGTTGCATATTTTTCTCTCAATCTTATCAAGAGACAGTCATGCTAACTGTTGTTGGAAAATCAGACGTATTACTCAATTCAGGTTTAGGTTGGCTATACAACTAAAGGTATATAGATACATTACCAAATTCATGGTCACTATCATTAATTAATCAACTTTTCAGGCTAATTTTCATTCCAGACAAATTTTGCGACTTCCCAGACATACTTTTCAGGTAACATTTCCCACTTACTATACAAGTTGTCTACCTCTCCAGACAAGTCATCCCAGACAACTTTTCTGATTTTCCAGGCACCTCTCCTGATTTGCCAGACAGACTTTCCACACAAATTTTCCGATTTTCCCACCTTTTCAAACAAACTAACTGACGTTCCATGTACCACTACCGACTTTCTATACATCTTTTAAACAACTGTCCAACTTTTGAGCAAACTTTTCAATCAAATTCTCAAGGCTAATTTCTTTCAAGACGCATTTTTCAACTTTGCAGAAAGTTTTTCTGACTTTCTAGGTTAACATTTCCGAATTTCTTTACAATTTCAATCATTTTTGTGCAACTTTCAAAATTTCAGACAACTTTACTGAATCCCAGGTAACTTTTCTGACCATCGAAGCATATTTCCCAACTTTCCTGACAAATCCGACTATCAAGACAACTTTTTTGACTTTCCAAGCAACTTGCTTGATGTCGCATACAACTTTTTGACTGCCGTGTGCGAAGCACACAAGGGGAGTCTTTGCAGTTAGCCTGTCTGTATGTATGTTATGTGTGTCTGTCTGTTTCACTAATATCTAAAGAACCTTATGTTGGGTTTTAATGAAACTTGGTGCATAGTTGCTCTGGGCTAATGTGGAAATTTAATATTAATTACCTAATTTGCATAATTAATCAATTTTCAGCTGATGTTTTAACTACTATTACTTCATTTTTTTTCAATGAAATTTGGTACATAGATGCTCTAGAACAATGCAGAGACCTGATTAATTTTGGATAAAAATGTGTGCATATTAATCAACTAGTTTGCATAATTATCTAATTTTCAGTTTTTACACTGATATCACATGTACTGATTATTCCATTTCAATGAATCTTTGTACATAGATGTTTTAGGACAATGCACAGACCTGATTAGTTTTAGATTAAAATCAATGCATATTAATTAGTAATTTGCATAATTGTACAATTTTCAGCTTTTACTCTGATGTCACATGTACTAATTATTTCATTTCAGTGAAACTTGGTACTTTGATGTTCTAGGACAATACATAGACCTGCTCAGATTTGGGTTAAATTCAGATTATATTAATTACCTAATTTGCATAATAATTCATCATTTTTGGTTCTAATCACATTTTAATGAAACTTTGTACATAGATGGTCTGTGACAGTACTTATCTAAATTCAATGAATCTTAATACATATATACTCTAACACAATTAGTTTTAGGTTTCTATACATCTATAATAATTATCTAATTTGCATAATTACTTTTCAGCTTTCCACTAATTCAGTTACAATCAATCATTACATTATAATGAAAATTTTTACATGTACGCCCTGAAACAATATACAGACCTAAATTTATGCATAATAATTGCTTAATTTGTATAATAATTCATTTGGTTCATTGAGGTAATCCACAGACATGATTAGTTTAAAGTTTATAAACATGCATATTGATTATCTATTATAAGCCCATTTTTGACATCCAACAAAATTTAAATTGAATCCATCACAGAGGTGCTCTGGAATTAAACTAAAAAGCATGGATGAAAAATCAAATGTATTTTCTGTATGTTATGCATCTCAAATATTAGTTAACAACCTTCTCTTTTGGAAAGCAAATCTTAAATTTTGAATTAATGTGTCTGCAATACTCTCAGCACATGGGAGTTCTTTCTGAGCTTTTTTTGATTTGACTTTCTAGGTAACATTTCAGACAACTTTTCCGACTATCCAAACAACCCTTTGTGACTTTAAGGTAACTTTTTCGACTTTCAAGACAATTTCACTGACCTTCCAGATAACATTCCGACTTTCAGACATTTTTTGATTTATCCTGGCCTATCTACCTGTCGTATTCCCAGGTTTTCGACTTTCCAGACAACTTTTCCGACTTTCTAAGGAACTTTCCCACGTTACATGCAACTTTTATGACCTTCTAGGCAACTTTTCTGACAACTTTTCTGATTTTTCAGGCAATCTTCCAAGGACTCAAACCAACTTTTCTGGGATTCCACGCAACTTTGCAGACTTTCAGGTAACATGTTTTGACTTTCCAGGCAACGTTTTCCAACTTTCTAAACGACATTCCAGGCAACGTTTTTTTTAACTTTCTAGTCAACCTTTTTCGAATTCAATACATTTCTGAACTATCAGCAACGTTATTTGACTTACAAAACAACTTTTTCGGCTTTTCCAGGCAACTTTATGGACTTTCTAGGTAACTTTTCTGACGTTACATAAAACATTGCACACAACATCTATTACTATCAAGGTTAGTTTTCCGACTTTTAATGCAGCTTTTTAGCGAAGCTGTCATTGTAGATGACAGAGCGGAGCTGTTCATATAAGTGATTGTCCATCGTCGTCTGTCCATCATTCGTCAACAATTACATTTCCATCTCCTTGAAAACTACCAGCTCAATTGTTTTGATACTTGGTATGTTGAACACGATTGCTTTGATATTTGAGGTGTACATTCATTTTTGGGAACAATTTGTTTGACTATGTTAAATTCTCAATAGCCAGAACCAATGTTTTGTTTTATGGGTATGGGTTGCCTGCCTGACTTGGCTACCACCATGCTGTTGTAGGACAGCGGAGCTATTCCGACTGTGTGTTACCAACAATATTTCTGACTTTTAAAACAATCTCTCAACTTTCCAGACAACATTTCCGACTTTCAAAACCACTTTCAGACTTTCCATATACCATTTCTGACTTCCCATGCAATTATTTATCTTTTTAGACAACTTTTCAAAATTATCAGGCAACATTTACGACTTTCAACTTTATTCGCTTATCATGGCAACGTGGCTGCCGTTACAAACTTCCCAGACCACATTTCTGACTTTCAAGATAAATTTTTCAACATTTCAGATAACCTTTT